TTGTTCTAGCTAAGACTTCCAAAGGAACTCTATGTTCCTTTGTCGTAGATTAACTATTCATATGTATATGTGTGTGTTCCTACATATGCTTTAGGAGGATGGTCACATTAAGAATTCTTCTAGTTCATGAGCATGGCGTATTTTGTATTTTTTGTTTGTTTTTTTCTCAATGATGTCTTCTAGATTTTTTTTTTTCTATAGGTGAAGTATTACTGCATTTGTTTTGCTAAGATTATGTGAGAAATTTTAATATTTACAAGTATGTTCATCAGGAACATATGTTTGATCTATGTTTCCTTTTTTTAATTTATTTTTCTTATATTGTTAATTTTGGACAATATTTGATTTCTCCCTTCATGTGTAGTCCCCATAATCTCCCACCACCTTAGCACCTGTGATCCATCACCACAGTCTCTTTTGTTCCTCTCTTCCTGTTTTGACTCCATCCAAACCTTCCCCAGTTGTGTTCCTTAGATCTGTGGTCATCTTGCAAGTTTTATCTTTTGCATATCCTTTGGTTTCTGTCACTCTTGTGTGTGTGTGCAATATCTTTTTCAGTTTTTTTTTTTAATCAGAATGATTGTGGCCTTGTAAAATGTAATTATATATTTTTTGAGAAGTTATCACTCCATATTTGAAAGTTTGTTATGCTTTCTTAAGAAAAACACACTATTGTGATATTTTTGATTAATCTGTTGAATTTTTACTACCGATTCAGTCTTCAAGGGTAGTGGATTTCTAAGAATTTCTTCATTTTGCTCTAGGCTACTTACTATATACAGACACACACACACATATGTGTATACATATATATGCTATACAATGTATATGTATGGATATTTTGTAAATTATAGTGAGAAATAATTTTCTAATATTTTTTATCTTCTCTATTTATGAAATATCTTTTATTCTGATTCTATTTATTAGAGTTTCCATCCTTATTTTTACAGAGTAAGTTTAGCTACAGGTTTACTATTTTTTTTTTCCAAAGAAACATCTTTTGATTTCATCAATCCTTTTGACTGTCTTTTTGATTTCTGTTTCATTTATTTCTGTTTTTGTTTAAGATTTATTTATTCATATGGAACTGGGGTACAGGCCAGAGATGTGGAGAGTGAGAGGATTCACCAGAGACAGAGTGGGTAGCAGAACAGGCAGAGCAATGAAGTACACTGCTGAGGGGAGCAGCGGGCGGGTCAGGAGAGGTCTGCC